CTATATATATATATATATATATATATATATATATATATATATACCTCATAATACCTGTGTACTAGCCTCCTGCTGTAGTGCTTGTACAACTTTGCACTTTTCAATCAACTAACTTCCTGTTCAAAGACCATAAGTGTGTTGTGTTTAGAAATGATATCTTGTACAGGTTGTCTAACATTAAGAGCAATTCCAGTTGGCCAGAACAAAGACAAAGAAGTCACAACAACTGTTTGTATGTGAAATAACATCTTTTAATCCGATAGTTTAGCACCATGTTAACAACCACTTGGACCTCAAAACCTTTAATACAAGTTGAAAACTGTTAATAGTTCATTGTGGTTTAGATACCTTATCTGGCTTCATGTTGTACACTTTTTCCCACTCTCAGTTTTGTTACAATACGACAGTCTTCCTAACAACTGTGCGTAAAACTGCATTTTCCCTGTTGACAATTACAAACACTATATTAAAGCTACATTGCCACAGTAATCGTCCATAATCACGAGGTATGTATCATGGATTTGGTCCCCAGGCACTTTCCTAGTCTATCACAAAATACATGTGGTTACAAGAATAAATACATCCCAGCAAAAATAGACGAATAGATGAATAAGCTAGTTCACAGTTTGAAGTGCACATGTGAAAGGCTCCTGGCAGAACATAGAGAATCGCCATTGGTCTTCAACATTGGCATATTACCTACAATATATCACACTGTAAACTAGCTTATACATGTACTGCATTCTGCACCAGACTCTTGGCTTGCTCTGGTTTGAATGTACACGTATGTTTGTCATGTGTTCCTCTACTCCTTGCCGAGGCCACGGTCGAACATGTACACCCCCAGACCCGAGCCACAGCGTTTCAGGTTGGTGAGGTGATCACCTATGGTCTTGATGTTGTCCACTTGGGTATGGAGAAAAGTATCTGTAGAAAAAACAACAGAGAAAGGACAACTTGCTATTACAAGCTACATAACTAGAAAGTCTCTTTACAGAAAATCAGAGGTTAAGTTTGGAATTCATTATTGCCAATCCTGTTGTTCGGAAGACTACAGTGAGTTGGAAAAAACTGAACAGATGAGAGTAGCAGCTGAAATGTGGTGAAGATGAGAGGAGAAAGAGAGTCGAGAATAAATTGCTTTAAAAAAGTAGTCCAAGTTGGAAGGCAGCATCTAGTAGGCTTCAGGCGCAGCTGGAAAGAGTAGAACACCTGGAATAGATACTATGCCAGTGAGTTCATCCACCAAAGTGTACAATTTGAAGCAAACTGTACTCCTTTACCAGACCAACTCTCCTGAAACGTTATCTGTCTATTTGGCCAATTTCTACTCTTTGCAGATGCTTTTTTGTAGTCTGGTAGAGGCTGCTCTCTAATACTTGATACTTTAATGAGATATCCATTAGTTGCAAAAGTGACAGCAAGAGCAACTAATCTTCCTGGATTCCAGAACAGTTACACATAACAACAAACCAAACCAACAAACTGACCTTCAATGAAGTCTGAGGTATGTTCATCGCCGTGTTTGTGCGCCAGCTCGTACACGTCCAGCATGTTCTGGTTCAGCTTCTTCTCCAGGGCCAGCGCTGTCTCCAGCGCCTCCTGAGGACTGCCCCACGAGTCCTGCGGGGGTTTGGGGATGTCCATCAGCACAACGCGCCCTCCCCGCTGGGTCTGGTGCTGGTGCCACTGCAAGGTAATGTGAAATTTAACTATGTTTACCGAAGGAAAACATTGTTTTTGCTCTGTTTCCCCTTTTTAAACCAATAAGGTCAATGACCTGAACCAGATGTCTGTCACCATGGTAACTAGTGTTGTGTTACATGTACATCATGTTGCAATTTTATAGCATGAGGGATTTAGACTCCAGTCTGACCATATATACGAAAGTGTTTGAGTAAGAAGTAACAGATCAGACCATATGCCAAGGCAAACATTATGCATTTGCTTTGCAAATGTTACATTTCTAGTGTACAATATAGTCTTGTTGCCAACTCACTTTCTGCCCGAATTCCCTCTTCTGATCAGACAGTCCCTTGAAAAACTTATGCAGGCCAGGTAAGGCAATGTCATCCCTGTCAAAGTACACAGACAGGGACAGGTAGGTGTAGGAGGCTGCATTCTCCCTGTTGGCCTGCAAATAAATACAAAGAATGATAAAACTTTAACATCAACGACAATGAAGGTTAGACACCCAGGCAATGAGGTAAACAAGGAAATTGTTACTCGAATGACAATTTCCTTGAGGACGAAACATCAAATTCTGACTGTACACTGTCACATAAAAAATCATATGATCATGAGGCAACTGAGGCACTACATTCGGAAGTGATTAATCATTACTAGTAATTATCCTGATGAAGGAGACAGTGGTCATTGAAAATTTGATCTCTGTGAAACCCTTGTGTTGGAATAAAGTTGAACCTTAAGTTAAAATTCCAGCCCTATGCATCAACCAAGAGGGAGTGCCCTAACATAAACAAAGGTAGGGTCATAGGTAAACAAAATGAGTGGTTCATGTTTGAAGCTGTCCAATAGACAACCGATTAGTGAGAAAGTGTACACTGTAGTAAGACAAGCTAGCCCCACCTTTTACACACACATCCCTTGCCTTATTTGTTTACCTGAGCTATTCCCACCCTCTCCTTTCTAGCCAACTTGAAATTTGGTGTTGCATTGTTAGAATAAATCTAACTAATTCTAAGAATTAGTAAATCTAACTAATTCTAAGAATTAAATCAAACATTCTAAACTGTCAAGTATCAATAATTTTGCTCCAACTCCTTTTCTGACTAAATTGTGGCCGGCCGACTAGCTAGCCGTCTAAGGGGACCATCATGGGTTTCAAGGTTACTCAAGAGTAGAGTGGAGCAGAATAGAGTTGTTTGCCTTTTTAGTCGTCTTACTCTTAGACAAAAAATGTCGTCTTAGGTTTGTAACTCTGTAGTCGTACATCACTTGGTGCTGTTGCTTGTACACATGTAGTTGTCCAACCTCTGCTAAAAGTGTTTACTGGTGTCATCAGTAGTCTCTGGCAGATTATTCTTCCATCACAACATATCACATGTCAGACCACGGGACAGACCCTGAAGTTGACCTCATTCCTCGTGTGTATCTAAAGCAAACCAGATGGCTGGTCTCATTTGGAGGACATTCCAGTACCATAGACGGGGAAGTGTTCAAGTCACTTGTGAGACCCCTATCCATGATTCTACTCAACAACTCTATTGTTAAAGAATGGCACGCCCGCTCTACGTTCAATTACAAAGGCCTTCTTTTCCTCCACACATATTTTTTTCACCGAATGAAAAATACAGCTACATAAAATCCCCATCACTTTTTACCATATGGTCAGTGGGTAAAACAAATCTTTTGTGTATAATTTTTAGAACAACAAATATTTAGGACGGACAACAAGTTACCAACCGAAAGTTACCTGTGTGTTAACAGCGGCTTCCGTCTCTGCGTGGTAGTTCTGACGAATTTGAGATTCCTGAGACATCGTGGATGGATATGGGAGCTTAATTAAAGGCCAGAAGTCCGTGAGAATGGTGTGCGTTTGGAATAGATTGGATACCGCCGACTGCTCGCCACACAATCAATTTGATTCGCAACGTGGTCTAACCACTCGTGTTTAGGGGTGTATTTGCGCAATTTGCCTAGGATGTTACAAAACATTGTGCTGGAAATATTAATACATATCATCTTTAAGTTACTTCACATAACCTATCATGTGTTTATATGACTATATTGAGTAAAACGCTTATCACAAAGATGGATAAAAAGTTAACAGGTGTCTTCAAAAACATACCTCTGAAGTCAGTGGCCTGTTCCTTTCCCACTATGCCTCATTCAAAATGGAGGTCATGGTCCGTGTACGTGCGGAAGAGGTTCGATATTGATAAGTTTGCGTGCTTTCTGTGTCATATATTTGCAGAAGAATGATACCCAACGAGAGGAAACATCTGTACGTCCGGGATAACTACAGAAGTAACGGCGGTCCTGCGGAAAGGTGGCTGGAGCGGGCATAAATCCGTTGGTTCGGCGGTGGAAGCCGGGGTCTCTGAGCGCCCGTCCGGGAGGACGGAACGCCTTGATTCAATTAGGGATCAGTGACGCTTAACGTCGGCGTCTGTCTGGATGTTATCACGTCAACGTGATCTGTTTAAGGCCGTCTGAAGGCCAGAATTCCATCCCACGCTGTTAGGTAACGTGCCTCTTATCTAATTGCGATGACCGGACGCACATGTAGATATCTGCTCCAGAAAGTCGGCTAAAAGGAATTAGAGGGACGTGATCAGCTTGGATCCATTAGGAAGACTAAATCCTCAATCGATGTCGCTCGTGGACGTGGCGCCGTATTGAACAGGATTATAGCACAGACGGCACGCCATAACTCACGGGAACGGGAACCGACAGTCTGTCTGGCCGAGCGTTACGGTAATTATCGACGGCGAAATCCGATTTCACCCCCGGAGGGAGTTGGGGTACACGTACGGTGATGTCATGTCCATTTCATGCTGGCAGCATCACAAGAAGTACAAGAAGAGAACCTCCCTAGGATCCAGGGATCTATAGACTCCAAAACTTCGTGCCATCGAAAGTTAATTTGTGTTGGAACTACTAGTGGACGTCATTAAGACTGGATATTGACTGGGAATATTTCATAAGAGACCAGGCAACCTTCGGAGATTGTTCGCCCAGACGTGATGTCATATTTCTAGTGGAGTGTGATAAATCTATGGTAGGCACGAGACCTCGATAATGCAAACAAAAAATTTGTGTAGCACTCGCAGTCGTGCGTGAAAGACATACCATGAGCCTGAGAATGAAGCAGTTTCGTCGATTTTTCTCAGGATGGCGGGTTCGGAGGATGTGTGCTTTCTTCTTCCTTGTCATCTTCTTCTATTGCTTCATTTTCCAACCGTTTTCCTACAACCAGCTGACGGACACCACGTTCCTCGGAGAAGACAAATGCCCAGCGTGCTTTGGGACAGACCTCTGCGAAGAGTTTGAAAACGGCAAGATTTTATTCAAGTATTCCTCGCGACTGAGAATACTGGACATCTTCAACATCAAGAATGTGTACTTTGCAATGTACGAAGGGATGGATGTTGCCTTAAAGCGTCTTGGTCACAATTCGGAGTTCGATCAGTTGGACCGGTGGATCTGTGAGACTGGTAAGGAAGGCCCGCAATGCCACATCCCGTCAGTCACGTACTACTCCAACTTTTCTCGCGTGATTTACGAAGGGCTGTCCCCCAGGAGCATGGTGGACATGTCGGACATGGTGAGATGCCCGTCACAGAGGTTGATTGACAGGGTGCTGGAGAAATACGCGGAACATCTCGGGAAGGAGCCGGAAGAACTCTCCTACCAAGAAAAGCTTCACTTCCTGTCTACTCTGAAGTTTAACCCAGAACCGCTCATGTTACAGGTCTGTGTCCTCGTTTTTTTTTCCCGTATCAAGTATGCCACAGATGGTCACAGATTATGATTACAGTTAATAATTGGTTCAATGGGAAAAATGATTTTAGGATGGACAGTTGGTCCTCATACAGGCGTGGTCGCTAAGTATTTTGTTTTATGTTTTTATTTTTTCGCACATAGTATAGACATAATAATTTAAGATTAAAAGGGAAAGAAACACTGTGCAGAAGGGGGTAGGAAGCCTAGAAGGCTTTTATATAGAGCCTGCCTCTTTCATAATAGTTATCATGAAACTATTGTAATGATTAAGAAAGAATTGACGGTAAGTATGTTGGTTCAACAGTAGCTACTTGTATCTCAGTCAGTAAAAGCAATGACTCAGGTCTCATTCTTGATGTATGATATGATATGATCATATGATATGATATTATCATATGATATGATATGATATCATATCATATATAATATGTAAGTAAATTACTTTTTCCAGACTTTCCCCATCACCGAGGGCTGGCCGTTCCCGTTCTACTTCGGTGCCTGCGGTCGACTGACGGTCGTGCAAAAGTGTGAAAAAACTCTGGGCAGCTACTACAGCGCGTCCTGGCTGAAGAGAGTGGACCTGGCCCTCCAGATGATGAAGATAGCAGAAGATCTAACAAACAATGAGGCAGAATTTGCCCTGTACCTGACAGACCTGACGTATGACAATTTCGGAGTGACGAGCGATGGAAATCTGTTCATTATAGACGTGGAGAATGTTATTGTGGTGGACAAACAAAAGATAAAAACAGGTGAAGACAGACATTTTTTTTTTCATTTTTGTGACTGCTTCTAAGTTTTAATGCTAGTTTTAAGCTTTAAAGATATGCTAGAGTCTATTTCTCTTTCCATATGTTCATAGATTATGCAGACACTAATAGTGGTACTGTAGTGCACAAGGCAAGAAAGAAGTTGCATCATTTTCTGATCTACTGTTACATTTAATGGTGTCTTATTTATCATATTCATTTGTTTCCTTTCAGATAAACCTAAACACTGGGACGCGAGGTACCAGTCTGACTTTGATGATTGCCTGGGCATGTCCAGCTGTCTGTCATTTGACGTGTCCGCGCTGTGCAGATATCTCCACACCGATCACAACTACTACGCGGTTTGTCGGAACATGTTGTCTGACTACGCCTCCGAGCGAGGGAAGCCGGGAGGGTTCCTGCACAGCCCGCCGGAAACCGTGGTGCGCGAGGGAAGGTTACAGCAACTCCTGGAGGAGTGCGCCCGACCCGAGACTCCTTTCGGCAGGTTTGACGCTGCAAAGGAACTGATCGAGTTGTTGGGAAGCTACTTGAAGGAGAGGTAGTCAAAGATTTGTCAGGAGGATGACAGCTGAGACTGACAGTTTACCAGTTTTAACTTTTTATTAAATAGTCTTCATCAGAAATGACAAGAGATGTACCACACTTCCTTTTATATACTCTTCTATCACAGTCAGGTTGGGGTGCCCTGCCTGTTACTTAGATACTTGCAGGAGAGGTGATGGCTCAAATCAGGAAGGCCACCAAAGGCTGTTACTTAGCAATAATCATTCCCAGACCTTTAGGTGTCCATCTCTGTTTCTAAAGCTCTTTGGCCACACAGTTGTGCAAGCTAGCACTAAATCAGAGGGTTAGGCCACTGGTGAAAGGTCGCAATACAAGGACGGTTCAAACATGTTGGATGCAGAACTCTAGATCTATTGAGAAAGCTCAGTCTGTAATGTACACTAAACCATTACACCGACTCCAGACATTAAAACTCCCTAAGACAGATGCCAAGTTGCAAACGGAATCTCTTTTATAATGTTTTGTTTAGTTTTTAAGCAATTTATGATGCGTGTGGATGATTGATTGATGTCTTCCTCTTCCTTTACTTAAATTCAAAGGATAGATGTCAGAGTACTACAGGACTAAGAGAATCTAATAACTGAGATACCCCAAACCTATGCACATCCTGAGATTGTACAGGTCTCTAAAAGATCAGTGTTTTAAGTCAATGTCCCTTTAGAAAGGTGAATACGTTTGTGAATTTTGAATGCTAGTCTGTACATTGTTTCAAAAATGTATGTATCCATTTTATTGTGTATAGACAATTGACTTCAAGTCAGTTGTCAGAAGAACATGTATGTTTGTTTAAGACTTCTTCATAATGAAGATACATGTAATGCCACAAGACCCACAACATAGTGTGGGTAACTGGATTATAAAACTGAAATGATGACCCTGTAGCTATCGGAAGACTGCACAGTTTGAAAAGTTCAATGGTGTCTGCAATTGAGCCTGAGCATGGGCCTATGGGTTACTAAGAATGTAGACATATATACATTGTACTGATAATACAGTATTTTATGTGAGTAGGTTATAATTTCTGTCCCAAGCTGTACATAGTTGCATTTTATATATGTCAAGGGTTATGTTTGTGGCTCGTCCTATGAATTAAATTGAAGGAGAAAAATCACTGACGTGTAACAGAATAAACAAGTTATTTTGGATGTACATATTTCCGGGAATAAACCAGTTGTCTAAACAAACATGACCTCATTTGATACTTATGAACGATATATTCACGTAATGAAACGAGTTTGAACTGCAATTGCCAAGACAAGAAATTGGACTTACCCAAACTTTTGACTGCACAACTACAGTCTTTGTCAAGGAATGAGCAATCCACCCCTTTTGTGACGTCACGCAGATAACACAAGTGACTCCGTGAGGTTGCAGAAAGTCTGTGGCGCCCCCCGTCTCTGGGTAAGTCCAATTTCTTGTGTTGGCAATTGCAGTTTAAACTCGTTTCATAATGACTTCCATCAATACAGATGAACTGCAAATATAAGATACATTTACGTGACTGTGTGAAGGCCTAGAGCATTATTATTTAAGGTTACTGTTAACACCACCTGTAAAGGTATGGCTCACATGCTGGCCGAGGCGGGACACAGTTTATTTCTGAAGCCGTAAGTTGGGCCACTTTAAACTTTAAAAAGGTCGCTTCGTACGCAAAAAAAATGATAACTTGCGCACCGGGCTACTAGTATCTAGCGTCTCCAGTAATTCTCCCACCGAAAACATTTCTTGCACGGCTAGAGTGGGTATTGCGAACTCTGCTTGTTCCAAAAACGCACAAAACACTGAGCCGGATCCTTACATCTGCTTGGGGGTTATGCGTAACATAGTCTGGTTACCAAACCTAATTGCGGAGACTCGGCAGCAAAATTAGGATTGATAACCAGGCTAAGCCCATTTTAACAACAAATTTTATAGCAATACACATTTGCATACACCCATTACACTGGGACGCCTTATAGAAGAAAGACGGGTCACGTGATGCAGGGATCAAGGTACAATCACGACGGTAGGTTAACCCTATAACCTCCTTGGTTGACCTTGCTGGCAATATCCAAGGAATGTCCAAGCAGGTAGCTTTAAGACAGTACAAATTCGCTGCCGAAGCCTAGATTCTAACGGACTGATATATCAAAAGGTACTGAAGAAATTTCTCGCTCTCTACTGTTCCGCAGCGGGAGCTACTACCACTGTACTTCCGCTATTTCAGCAGACCGTAGGATCTAGGAACAAGCGTGAGTAGGACATGTTTCACCTTACATGTCGGTATAACTGCTGAGCGAAGCAACAGGCTTCACTAAGTTTTCAACAAGGACTTTAAAAATCTTTTGCTTTAAAAATTGGCGACTAGAAATACACCGCTTGACTTGACCTCTATACAATGACCCATTGTACACACCGTAGGCGAGGCGGTATTACTGTACACACTTCAGAGTGCCCTTTGTACCGTGATCGCTACCGTTAGCTCGTGGGTCATGTTGCTATTGCTATTGTTACACGACCAGGTGTGTATGAATGTGACGTTTATGTGAATTTGGCGGAGCAATTTCAGGAAATGTGAAATGATGTAATCACACATAAATGTGACTCATGAAATAGGAAGAAATAGACATCTTGGACACTAAACGCTTTTGTTTATATAACAGATAGCGCTATATGTCCTTGCCCTATTTAACTTGCTGTACACTATAAAGATGACTTTTGTCTGACCCCTTTTTCTGTCAATCGAAAATCTTTCTGCTCGATCCAGTTTTCAGATTGCAGTTCTTGAATTTTAGACAGATTTGACCATAAAACTTTTCCACTTTTTTCTACAATAACATTATTCTATCCTCAGTTTTCCGTCAATTTCGCATTTATGTCAGATTTACCCACCTGTTATATTTGTAGGTTTGAGTTGTAGGTTATGTTTCTCGCTCTCGTGCGTTTTCGGTCAGACAAAAATCAGCATGCGCGCAGATATTCAAATGATCAAGTTCATGTTTTTGAATGCTTTTAATTAAAAATTATCTATTTTAATTTTCTTGATATTCAGAAGCATGATGCAAGAGGTCTTCCAGCGTCTCTTGCTGATTGTGACCTTGACCTTGTTGGCTCCAATCTCGCCAGCTGAGCCACAAGAGCGCGGTTTCAAGGTCACCCAGTCCACAGACGGGTCAAGTTTGAAGGTCACGTTCGACGGCCTGACCATCATGCACCACGATAGGGAACATCCCGCCATTTCCGTGGGGTCAGGGGTCACGACGTTTAAAGAGACCTACGGAAACTTCTTGATAACAGACAACATTCTGGAAAAGGTGGACCTAGTGGACGTGCAAGTTGCACAGAAAGGGAAGAATAAACATGTTTTGACTTTTGCAAGAGGAGGAACATACAAGGTTGGTACGCCTCATGTCCCGAATGTAAATTTTTTAATGATTCTAATCCTTAAAAAGCCTCATGGCAAAAACAAACGGACATGAACGAGGAAAATTTTATCACTTTTTTTCGAATCCCCTCTCACAAACAGCCCTGGTGCTCAACCTATGAATTAAAGGAAATGAATAAGCTTTGGAATGAACTGTTATACAATGAGATTAAGTAAAGTATGGCCAACCGAAATCAAGTTTCTAACATTTCTGCCGTAGATATAGATAGCAATGGGGGAAAACCGGCTTTAATTTTTTTTGTACCTTTCTTGCCAGACGGAAGTGACGTTGTCGTACGATGAGCAAAAGGGCCTTGACCACGTGATCACCTTGTCCTCCCTCCCGAAGGGAGTGAACCGGACCTGGGTCCGACTGTACGCCGAGAGGGACGAGCATGTCTATGGAGGTAGGCTGCAGTAGACTGTACGAAGGCCCACAACGACACTGCGCGACACCCCTTCCAAAGCTTTCTCCGGGCTTTGGAAGAGAGGTGTCGCGCAGTGTCGTAGTGGGCCTTCGTAGGTCGTACTGTTGAATAAAAACTTATAACACAAACATTTCATCTTGAGTCTTGAGACTTTGGATATAAACTTGTGCTTTTAAGGTAAAGAAGAGCATATTGTAAGTGAGTGATATTTTTATTACCATTTACACAAAGGACAACGATAATGTGACGTACACACAAGTTACGTACTCATTTGAATAATCAAAGACAAACTTTTATAATACGTCAGTCATATATAAAGGTTAACATATTTGGCGAAGGTTATGTCCTGGACACTGAATGAGGTCGTGGAACGCTAGTTCAGCTTGTAGTACGCTTTCTGTACAGGTGGTGAGCAGTTTTCTCACTTTGACCTGCGGGGCCGGAGTTTCCCGATGTGGGTGCGGGAGCAGGGTGTGGGGCGGCAGAGGTGGGACTGGGTGACGCACGTGGTGGACCAGGTACACGGGGGAGGCGGCGGGGACTACCACACTACCTACTGGCCGCAGCCTACCGTCGTGTCATCAAGGCGGTAATGAAGTAGCTTTAGTTGTTTTGAACATTTCATTTCTTGTTTATGAACCTTTTATGTACTGAAAAACAGGTCACGGACCTGAGTGTGATCTACTGTCAAAACAAAATTTATGAAATGAAATGAAAATTCAGGCGGACGCAGGTATTTCCAACGAGAGATAAAACGTAAACCTAACTGACCCCGACCAGTACTTGGCGGTTAAACTGTACTGAAATCCTACCTTTAAGGACACCTTAAAGCATGCATAAAGGTACGCGCAAATGAATAAACGGAATCTTTACGGATGCTTAAGGGAATCTTTACGGAATCTTTTGATCCTTGAGGGTATGGATTTTGTGTTATTACCTCTGGGAACGGAGTTTTTATTTTCGGTCCCTAGTTACTTGAGTATAGTACAGTAGACAAGACAACAATAGTCCTAGCCTAGTTCAATAGTTGTCCCGGTTTGTTCGCCATAGATACTTCTGTCATTTCACCACAACCAACTACATGGTCATGGACTTCGGTCACCCGGATCATCATGAGATCCAGATCTGGGGGGATCCCGGTCAGATCGTCTTAGACAGCGGCCGCGACTTCTTCGACGTGTCCAAGAAGCTGAGCGGCGTTCTGGGGCGGCAGCCGCCGTTACCGGAGTGGGTGTACAGCGGCGCGATCCTCGGCGTGCAGGGAGGGACGGAGACCGTGTTGGGGCATCTCCGGCAAGCCGAGCAGAACGGAGTCAAAGTCAGCGCGCTGTGGATACAGGACTGGGTGGGGAGGTACCACACGTACCTGGGGAAGCGCCTTTACTGGGACTGGGCATGGGACAAGGCTCACTACCCGGGACTCGACAAAGTCATCAAGGAGTATAAGTCGAAAGGCGTGCGGTTTTTAGCATACATAAATCCTCATGTCATCACAGAAGGCCCGATGTTTAAGGAGGCTAACTTAAAAGGATACTTAGTGAGAAACTCAAGCGGCCAGAGTTACTTGCAGGACTTTGGCGGCTTCTACTGCGGAACTGTCGACCTGACGAACCCGGAGGCGTACGGGTGGTTCAAGGGCGTTTTGAAGAGGAACATGGTTGACCTTGGGTTTGCCGGGTGGATGGCAGACTTTGGAGAGTATCTTGCCACAGACATGGTGTACCATAGCGGGGAGCCAGCCGAGACTGTTCATAACCTGTACCCTGTACTGTGGGCAAGGTAAGACGAAACTCGGGTCACAAGAAACAGGTTTCTTTTATACTAGTAACAGGCCTCGTGGCTGAACTTTGTATTTTAAGTGTACATAGGTGCTGTTTTCTGGTTGTATCTCAGATTTCTGATTGTACCATACTAGATGTGTTTCTTCTTCACAAAACATGTTTCTGGTAAATACATCTGATACGTGTACCAGCTTATCTACCGTATTGTAGCTTCGGTCTGCTCCTTCGATCTCTTTCCTTGCCAAGTGTTAGATCTCCATGATCTGCGTAGAGGCCATTGGAAGAGCCGGAGCTAAAATAGTATGGATCACAAGCTACATCGATACAGAAAATGAAGATTTTTTTCCTGGCAGGTTAAACAGGGAAGTGGTTGAAGAGGCGGGAAAACTTGACGAAATCACCATCTGGATGCGGGCAGGCTACTCTGGGAGCGAGAACTACACCCTGCTGGCCTGGGCAGGAGACCAGACCGTCGACGCCCGTATCCACGACGGCCTCGCTTCGGTCATCCCTGCCGCCCTCTCATTGGCTGTTTCGGGTTTCGGACTGCACCACTATGATATAGGAGGGTACATCACCCTGCCTACGATTTACAGAACGGAGGAGGTTCTGCTGAGGTACGCGGAGGCGGCTGTGTTCACCCCCGTGATGAGGACACATGAGGGCAACAGACCGGACGACAGTTGGCAGGTACCTTCGTTTTGTCAAAACTTGCGTCCTGTCATCCAAATAGCCATCATCAATATTGACCTAGCTTTGGGTTAGCGTTGTTGGCTTAAGATCTACGTCAAGTTGTAACTCTAGCAGGTCCTAAATGTTGTGCCCTTGGAAAATTTAAAGGCATGCACTTGCAACAATTTCCTCACTCGACTCAGGTGAAAGTGAGCACCTACCGTTCAAGGGACGCCCTCTCGGATAGGACGCGAAGCCAGCGGTCCTGTGTTTGAGGAGAATCACACCTCGAGCACGTTAAAGATCCCTCCGCACTTTGTTGTCTTTTACTTTCTTTCATCCTGGACTGACAAATCCACATGCTGTATAGATATCATTATTTACCCTGTACCTGTAACTGTCATTCATATTAGTTTATTAATTTCAATTGTTTTAGTGAAATATGGACCGGTCCTTAATGTAGCAACTAGCTATAGTTTTTCGTCACTGTGTTTTGTTCTTGTTATGTATAAACACAGGTTTTTAGTTCGACCGACACCTCCCGGCAGTTCGGACGGCTGACCCGACTGTACGTGCACCTGGCCGGCTACACCAGACAGCTGGTGGCGGAGAACAGCATGACGGGAGTTCCCGTGCAGAGACCGCTGTTCTATCACTACCCAGCCGACCCACGCGCCTACTCCGAGCAGTATCAGTACATGTACGGGCCGGACTTACTGGTGGCCCCAGTGTACCACGAAGGTGGGTTCGGTTGGGCAGGAAAAAGTACCTCAAGCCTAAGGTTTACACCTTATTTCCTCCTGTGCGTGGCTACAGGCACACAGGCAGATAGGCCATTTCTCAAGGATAGTTTTCATGTTTTAAACAAAGATAATTTTCACTTTGTGCCCGTTTTCCTTTCTCAGAGGTGGACACCTGGGACGTGTACCTGCCAGGTGAGACGGAGACGTGGGTACACCTGTGGACAGGTGTGTCATACGCAGGTGGACAGGTGGTGAGCGTCAGTGCACCTGTAGGAGAACCGCCTGTCTTCTACCGAGCTGCGTCAACATGGGTGAACGTCTTCAGAAAAATCCCAACAGGTAACCGGGCTATATTTTACACCCTCTTCGGGATTGTGATGTCACGGGTTCGATTCTTGGCCGAACTGTTCCAGAAATTATGCTTTATAATTTTATCTTTTGCGAAGTAAAAAAAGACGGATAAAAATGTTTTCCCGTCAACACTTCCAGATTTCCCCCGTCTGCCTGACGTCCCGCCGGCCGGCTCACGCTGGGGTCTCCTGTGGCACCTGCGGGCTGCTGCCGTCCTCCTGGCGGCTGTTCTGGGGTCCTTCCTGGCCTGTTCCTGCGTGCTTTACCGCAGCAGGAAGAGAAAAACAGCGTAATCACGCTGTCAACGGTGGATGGAATTTCCTAATCGCAAGAAGGCCGCCGAAATTTCAAAATCGCATGAGCCCTGCGAATTTGTTGCCCGAAAATCAAAACTATCATTGGTCGGGTCTCGGTGATATGTGAATTCGATCATCAGCCGATCTCTAAAAATCGCACATGTGACTGAGAGGACACCGACTGTACTACTGCAGAAAATACTACAGACCCGTCTGGTTCGCTATTTTATCTCCGTACGTAACGTTATGCTTAATTCACGGAAGCTGACCGTTTTTAGCAAAGAAATTAAGACTTTCGTCACTAAATGGAAATAAATTGATATAATGTTAGATGATGAAAGTTCTTTTATGATGAATATTATTATGGTAAAGTATATACAATGATGATATTGTTAAATGACGACTAAACTGTAAAATTTCACTCTTTTCGAGTACGGGTATTGGGATATCGTGAATGACAGCAACTTTTGATTATTGAGAAAGTTGGAGAGATTAGTTTTGCTTCCTTTTACAGTGTAAATTGTTTTTTTATCTATGTGTGGAAGGTGTTTAGCACTAATCTCCAAGCAGATCTTTTGGTGGGGGTAAGACAGTATCAAATTAGCCAGTCTGTATCCATTTCCCCACCCATTTCCCCAC